TTGATTTTGTAATACATTTTATTTAACCCAATATACCCCAAACAGTCTCATTTCCATATGTAGTGAGCGTGAAGCTAGTAACAAAATAGCTTACATTCTTTTTTTTCAAACTAAGTCTTCAAAATCTGGTGTGTTTGACACAGTGCATCTCAATTCTTACTAGCCACATTTCAATAGCCACAGGTGGCCAGGGCTAATGTCTAGGACAGTGTGGTTTTAGAGCCTCTGAATTCTCTGAATTTATTCCTCCAGAACAAAGCAGTAAAGTTCACCATATTTTGAAAATTCTTTCAGGGTGTTCTTAGAACAGCACATGAAGCCCATCTCTGGAGCTCAGGTTAAAAATTTTTGCTCCTAAGATCTTTAAAGCTTTAAAATGATGCGGTGCTTCTGTCCTCAGCAAACACTGATGAAGTAGCCTTTGCTTCTGTAGTATACATGTGGGGCATACTGGCCAATCAGAGCACTAAAATGCAGGGCTTCTGCTCTTTCTGCCTCTGGGTTCTTGTCACCAGCATCCCCACACCATTACTCCCTATATTCTCCCTGCTCCTGCTTCACCTCCAATTGCTACAGAGGTGGAGGAGAAAAGAAGAAAAAAAATTAGAATTAATAGAGACTTCTTGTTTTCGCCTGCCAGATTAACCGACATGGCCTGTACTAGGTGTTCTTTGTGTTTGTGACAGGGATTTTTGGATAAGTAAGAAAGAGGATTTGTATTCAAATACCAGAAACATTCTGATGCTTTGCTGGTTACACTGTGCACACTTTTATCTCCTGCATTGTCCTTTTCCGAATCATTTGTCCTCTGGTGGATCTTGACAAGGAGCCTGCACAAAATTAACAGGCATGCAGAGCCTGGATGAGCAAAATTGATTTGCTTATAATCTGTGAAGAGATCAGGATGTGGTCGAAGTGATTTTAATTTCAGAGCCCAAGTCACTAGTCTGTCTTTTTGTCAGGCAATTAGTCCCGCTGACTGGGAAAGAATGCCGCGATGCACGGTGCCAGGGGAAGCAGGCAAATGGAAACAGCAAATCCTTTTCTGCTTCCTCAGAGTGTTGCTCATGCCAGGCTTCTTTTGTCTCTCTAGTTTATTTTGGGTAAAATTCCCCACTCAGCACCAGGCTCCGTGACTTCCCTTGGGCACAGTGCTGTGACAACATGACATAGGCACACAGGTGGCCAAAAGGACAGGCCTGGGGGCCAGATCTGTGTGTGAAAGTTCTGGAAAAAGACCTGGAGGGAGGTGAACAGCTAGAGGAACTCCTTTCAGTAGTTACTGCTTCTGGACTGTCCGGCAGTGTGTTAAGATCTTCACACATGGTGCTTCATTTTAGTTTTCTCAACAATCCCAAATGATAATTATTTATACCCTCATTTTGCTGATGTTGAAGTTGAGGGGCAGAGAGAGGTTAGTAATTTGCCAAAGTCACATCTAAGAAGTGCACAGTCAGGATTAAAACGTGGTGCTCTTAGTCCATGAACTATGGCGCACTCAGCAATCCACAGATGCCATTGCCCCTGGACTTTGGGGAGGGACAAGGTGTGGCTAAAAAGGCAGGATAACAGGAACCTCAACGAGGTGCTTCTACCCACTCAACAGGGACTCTGTCTTGCTCTGGTAAGTATCCTCCACACCCAGCCGAATCTGGCTCATTGAAGGCAACATAGGCGCATACACGGCACTGCTCTATTTGTTCAGTGACTGGAACACATTACCCCCTCTGACTCTCACAATGACCATGAGAGGTAACAAGGAAAGGTTTTATCATCTTTATTTATAATTACTTTACCTGAATTAAGGGGACTATCTCACATTCCCAAAGCTGATTTAAATAAGTTTCTAAGTTGTTTTAATCATCAGGGCAACAGCTTATCTATAGAGATTGCAAGCTCCTGGAAGTAGGGACCATTTTTTATACATTTTTGTGTCCACCTCTGACAGCTCAGATAGACATTTCTATGATCACAGAAAGTTCCACTGGACAGTGCAGCTCTACAGGCAAGCAGGGGTCAGCTGGTAACAATCTAACATAATACCCTACTTCAAAGCCAGAAGAGGAATGTAATAATTTTTGAATAAATAAATGAATGAATATCACAATGGAAGTATTTTCTTAATATAGACTGAGCTAATTATGGTGATCAGTCATAGGTTGAATTAGTGTTTTCCATGGCAGCTGACTCCATTTTTCAAAATGAATCATCAAAAAGAGCAAAATAATTCATTTCTTAAATATGTCAAAATGCATTATTAAATGTCATGTTAAGTAATGGCAAGGTGCTGGAGTGGGTTAGTCAGTGATTAGTACTATCTAACCATCATTTAAAAGCAAGGCAAGTGCAGTGTTTATACCAATACGGCATTGGAATAGTCAAAACTAACTCTACTTAGATAATGAATTGATTCATATTTACTAAGAACACATTTCATTTACTTTGTACCATTCTTCATGAAGCTTAAGCTGTATTGCGGTTATTATTTTAGTTAATATCATGTCATCTATTTATGCCAAGAGCCTGGTGTTGCCTTTTAAAAATGACGAAGAAGTCAAAGGCTCACCACATTAAGGTTTTTCTTTACCATGATAGCCAGCCAGCAAGTATGATGTTTTGAGTCCACTTTACTTGCCTTGTGCTGGTCTCACCTATACTTTTAGGAACACTTGAATAAAAAACAGATGCCACAAAGGCTTGGCTTCTTGTACTAAATTTCCCATAAAATGCAGAGTATCTTAAATTGCTAGATGCCCTAACCAGTCTATTAGGGAAGGAGTATGTTTTATTAGTTCAGCGTTTTGGTATTTTATGAGAACATGGCAAAGACTGTGGTACATTTAACTCCATATAGTCCTGACTTTAAGCAATTTCATCTATGAGAATGGCTGCCTTTAAGACGGAGCTAACACAATTTGGGTAGGGGGTGCATATTGCCAGTATAAAGCCCATTCATTCATTCATTGGATGTCTATACGTGCTAGGCACCGGGAACACAGTGATGAATGCTACACAGCCCCTGCTTTCAAGGAGTTCATAGTCTACTGGAGGCTCAGACAAGTAGACCCACAATTACCACTGAGGGTGATCTTTAATGGGACTGCTAACAGAGCCATGTCATTCAGCCTAGGGGATAAGAAAAGACTTCCCAGGAATAAAGCAATAAATAATATCATGAAGCCTAGATAAAGGTTACTCAGGTGATGAGAGAGGGAAGGAGAGTACAAGAAAGACAGTAAAGCTTGATTGGGACTATAGCAGGAAGTATAGTGTCACCAAAGCATAGAGATTCCAGGGGGCCACAGAAGGTAGTGTGGTAGAAGGAGGCTCTAGAGTTGTGCTGTCCATTATGATAGCTGATAGCCACATTTGGCTATTTGAATTTAATTTTAAGTGAATTAAAATTAAATAAAATTAGAAATGCAGTCCCTCAATTGTACTATCCATTTTTAAAGTGCTCGATAGCCACTGTGGCTACTGTATCAGACAGTACAGATATGTAATATTTTCATCATCACAGAAAGTTCTACTGTACATTGCTGCTCTACAGGCTGGCAGAGGCCAATTGGTGATGAGCTTTGAATGACATGCCAAGGTGTTTAGACCTTATTTTGAGGACAATGAGATGCCAGTGAAGCATTTTATACAGGGGAGTAGAATGATCAAATTTATATGTAAATTAAGTCACTCTGCAGGGCACAAAAGAGGTTAGAGAGAGATAAGGCTAGAAATTAGAGAGACCAGTAAAGAGAATATTGTGTTAATCAGGGCAAGAGCTGGTAGGAACCTGGAATAGGAAGTATAAGAGTGTATAGACCCAAGAAATATTAAGAAATAGAATCAACAGGACATTAAAAAATATGGAGCAGTGTCTAAACAGATGTGGAGGGTAAGGAGACATTGAGGTTGATCCCTGGCTTGGGCAGCTAGTGAATGAATGTACCAGTAACTTAGACAGGGAACAAAGGAGAGAAATATGTCTGGGGAGGAGTGGTGATAAATTCAACTTTGTTTTTGCTATATTTGAGGTGTACAAGGAGGCATCCATGCGAGCTGCAGAATGCATTTAAATAGCCAGATCTGAAACACAAGAGACAAGTCTGGGCTGGAGATAAAGATTTTGAAGTCATCACCATGTGGATGACAGCTGAAGCCATGGGAGTGGATGAGCTCCCTGAGGGAGAAAGTGTGGCGTGAGATGCTAAGAAGTCTGAGGACTGAACCCAGAGAATACTGATGGTGATGAGACCAGCCTAGGAAGAGGAGCACAGGGAAGCAGCTGGTGAGGAAGAAAGACAACCAGGAGATAGTAATGGGATCCACGCACAGAGAGTATTTCGGGAAAAAGGAGTGGTCATCATATCAAATGCTTCAGAGAGCACAATAAGGTGAGGCATGAAAGGTGTCAACATGATCTTGCAAAAGTAAGGTCAACGGTGACTCTGGAGAAAGCACCTCCAAGGGAATGATGGGGACAGAAGGTGCATTGCAGTGGGTTGAAGAGTGAATGGGAGTTGAAGAAGAAGTTACAGCAAATATGAACAACTCTTTCAAGAAACTTGGTGGTGAAGGACTTGATGGCTGCTGTCCTCTCTCTGTCCTCTGTGCCACTTTCAAATGTCTACCTCACGTTATATTTGTAAGCTATCTTATGCTCTATATTACTCTAAGCATGTTGAAGGTACAGATGGGTCTTCTATATCTTTACATCTTCACTGTTTCTGGTCTAGGTCTTGCATGTAGAAAATGCTCTGTGGATATTTGTTTAATGACTTTCCAGCTTTTAAATGCTCAGGCTCTTGTTAGACTTAAATAAATATAAAGTGTATATTTTTTCACATTTTTTCCCTCTTAAACAACTTTCTCTTTCTCTGGTTGAATGAAAAGGTCTCAGTTCCAGTTGATAAAAGACGGTATGTCCATGATTTAATTGACTCTCATATTTCCAGGAAATTTTGTGAGTTGGGGGGGATTTAAAAAAAAACAGAAGAAATATAACTAGGACAAATATGCTTTAATAAAAAATTTTATTATGATTATTTACACTAGCTCCTTGATAAGCATATAAATGTAAACTTTTATTGTTGGCATTATCTCACATATGATTTATCCAAATTCAGAGTTAATGCTGTCGTTTGAGTGTACAGGTAGTGAGAAAAGTTTGTTATATTCACAGAATATACATACACATGCATTCGACACGTGTCCCTCTCTAAGCCAGTGGTATAGACACTGTCCCATTGGCTCTGCTTCTGCCTCGCAGGTGTGCGCTGGCATCAATCACGTCGTCCACATGCTCCTCACTCTTCTTTTCCTTCAGACTGTTGATGAATCGCAGGGTGATTTCATCCCACTCTTCAGGCAGCAGCATCAGCAGAAACCCAAGGCAGATGATGATGGTAGCAGCCAGGCGGACAACGTTGAATATCACCTCCTGCTTCAGGAGATCCACAGCTAGGAAAGAAACAGCAAGTCAGTTACAGCCTATGACTGTGTCTACGTTTCTCTGAAAACAAGTGACCAAAGTCACTGTTACTTCTAGAGATTCCCAAAAGTCTTCTTTATTCTTTCAAGCCAGTGTTTCCTTTGCCTACACCACTGTCTATGTTTGCTTTCCGTTCCTTCTCTCTAAATCATATTTATCCTTCAAGGTTCAGTTCGAATCCCATGTCATCTGACTTAATTACCTCCCCAGTTTTCTCTCTTAATACTTTTCCTCTGCTTCCCTTCACCGTTCTCCAGGTTCATTGCACCCCTGGAGATTTTTCAAATGAGCCAAACTTGTTCATGTCTAGGTCTTTGTATAGTCTGTTATTTTTTAAAGTTTAATTGAGGTGAAATTAATATAATACAAAATTAACCATTTTAAAGTGAACTTAGCGGCATTTAGTACATTCACAATGTTGTACAACTACCACATCTATCTGGTTCCAAAACATCTCCATCACTTGAAAATAAAATCCCCCACCTGTTAAGCAGTTATTCCCCATTCCCTCACCCCTACTCCCTAGCCCCTGGCAGCCACCAATCTTCTTTTTTTTTTTGGTGTGGATTTACCTATTTCATATAAATGGAATATTTCATGTTCTATATATTTCATACAAATGGAATCACACAATATGTGACCTTTTGTAACTGGCTTCTTTCACTTAGCATGATGTTTTTGAGGTTCATTAATGCTGTAGCATATGTCAATACTTTCAGCACTTTGTTCCTTTTCATGGCTGAATAATATTCCGTTGTATGTATCACAATTTGTTTCTTCATTCATCTGCTGATAGACACTGGGTGTTTCCACTTTTTGGCTATTGTAAGTGGTGCTGCTACTAACATTCATGTACAGGATATATTTGAATCCCTGTTTTAAATTTTTTTGAGTATACACACAAGAGTGGAATTGTTGGCCATATACATGCTGTTCTTTTTGCATGGGATTCCTTTCCCTCCTCATATTCCACCTTATCCAGCTAAACCCTCCCTTAGATATCTCTGTTTAGTCTTCTTGCAGGATGCTTCTTGGATGTCCCTCCCCTGTGTTCTCACAGCATTTAGTACATACCTCTATCAAAACAATTCTCCCTCTATGTTGTAATTACTCAATCCCTTTTGTCTCCCTCTCTGTGCTACATGGTCCTGAGGGCAGGAACTGTGCCTTATTCAGGATCTGTCACCAGTGTTAGCACAGTTCCTGTGCTAGCTGCTCAGAAATCTTTGTTCAATGGATGAATCCATGGATGAACGAATGAACTCCTTGCCAACTCCACTCCTTTCTGATATTCCTTTCCTCTGAATATCTTATAGCCCCTGGAGTCTGTCTCACACAATTTGGCATTTAATAATAAATTGCTTTGTAGAGTTCCCAGTTGCTTCATGTAGGTTGGTCTTCTTTTCCAGATTCAATTGTAAGCTTCTTCAGTGAACAACAATGTAAGTTTTTTTCTTGTCTTTTTTATAGCCCTGATCACATAATACATGCTCAATAAACATTTGCCAATTGTCCTGGAGGAAAGAAAGGTGGCTACTCAAGACTTGTCATCATAGAATTTTAAAGTTAGGAGGACTGTACAGTTATACAGATAACCCATTGTCATTACTTGTTTCACTGGCAGGTTCCACTAGAAAAATTGTCCTGGAAAAATAGCTTTTCCTCTTGTCCCTGAAGTGAGTCAAATTGCTTTTTCCTCCTATCTGTTCCAGAGGGACATCTGCTGTCCCCCCAGGAGAAGCTTCTGCAACTCCCATGGATAGTCTGACGGGGAGCCAACACCCTGTTCGTCTCCCACACTTTCATTAGTGACATGTACTTGAAAGTCCTGTGCTGGGATGCCTTTTGTTTCCATAGGACTTCCTCTAAAAATACCACAAAATTAGGTTGTCAGGGAGATTACATGAAACCCAAATGATACATTTGGTGTTTAATTCTAAAAGCATATCCAAGTAAAAACAGTGTTTCTGTAGCTGCAAATTTTAAATCTGCTGCGTAGTTATTCTGTTGTCTGCCACCTTCATGATATTTAAAAACATCTTCCCTGGCAAGGGACATAATTCACTATTGCTGGAAGGAGCAACTCAGGGCATCAAACAAACATGGGCGGGAGACTTGTGGGGGTCAGAATCTACAATGTCAAGTCACACCAGTACCTGCATTTCCAGGAACGCTGAGCACTGTCCCAATGGAGATTAGGATTGGGTATGTCAGCACCACACCGACATTCACCAGGATGTTGAAGGCTGTAAAATAAGGGAGCATACACAGGATGAAGGGGAATTGATATGCTGGGCTCTTTTCTTCTTACTGTGAAAGAATCAGTGTCTTTGCTAAATGTGACTTCTAAACTGTATGCACCGTTGGTCAGTTAATCCTCTGAGTTTGGAGATGGAGGCATGGATGGATGCCTTAATCAGTCATATTCTTTGTTCCTCCCCTGCCATCCTGGTTGCCAATGGGCTGGCAAAGGTGTATGGAGCAAATGCAAAGAGGTGAAATGAATCAATTCACTACTCTGCTTATTAGCACTATAAAGGTAGGTTGGGGACAACCAGAGGTTAAAAGCTGGTGATGGATTGAAGTTTGGTGCTTTATCTCTTTATTCCTTTGCTATTTTATGCCATATTCCTGGGCATTAAAAGGCTCTTAGTGTCACTGCCTAAAGGAAGGTTTATTCAATGACGGCTTATGCATTTTATCCCCTCTCTTGAGGTGAGCATCATATGAGCAATCAAGGGTGGGTTCAATGTAATTCACTGAATTCCAGGGACTATTTCCACATCCTGATTGGTGCACAGGTAACCAGAGGGCAGTCAACAGAACCAACTGCAGGTGTGGCTTAATGCTCTTTAATTAACCTTTGGACCTCTTTAGTTAAATATAAAATTAGTTAAAATAATCATCTATCCTCTTCAAAAATTATCAAAACTACATGTTTTCAAAGAGAAAAAACAATTATAAATTACAGAACATTATTTTAATAGTGTTCAACCAAATGTTTGTTTCAGACATTAGAGAGATGAATAATAACTATAAAAGATCTTCAATTTACAGAAGATCTCTATGAAAATGACTCAAATATTTTGCCCATATCTCTGTAGAACCAAAGAAAGTTCTGGAACCATTCCAGTTAGGATGATGTGTATTCTTCCATTGTCATCTATAATTAAACCCACCAGAGTCACTTGTGCTTGGTAGTCAGAGACAATGGGTTTGACTTTCACAAGTCCTGGGCTACTTTATAATGTTCATCGAGTGATAATGGCAATCAAGGCACAGGACCTTCCTAAGTTAATAACTGCTCTTCCTTCTTGGCAAAGCTGAATTGTGAATGAAGATTCCAGCACCTCGACTCTCTCTGCAGACTCAGAGAGTCAAATGTAGCAAGTTCTAACAAATCAGGAATTTATTAAATATAGCACAGGCTCTGCTGGACTCGTTGGCTATCATTTTATTGGTTGAACTGGGTATTTTAGCAGGTGGGTGAAAGTATTGGTATTTGGGGAGAACTGAGCCCTTCTCACTCAACAAGTGCCAGGTAGCTTCACTGAAATGTGTTGTCTGTTTATCTTAGTTCTTTAGCTGGAACACTTACATTCTCTTTTGATAGCCTCTGGAAAGGAATATTATGAATCAATGTGTTATCCATAGCAGGAGGCCAGCCTGAGTTTAAGTGCAATTTGGACACGTCAGGTGAGTGGATGAGGCCAACCTGCATTGGGTTAAGGCACTGTCTGGAAGACAGGTCAACCTGGGAGAAGGAGTGAGGCAAGGTGAACCTAAGCAAATAGAAAGCCACAGTTACAGGATACGTGGGTGTCAGAGCAAGGACTGGTGTATGTCTCCCAGTCCTGTCACCCAGTCCAACCCCAACTAGACCATATCTGATTCCTGAGGAGAAGAGAGCAATGGAAATAAAAGCTTAGGAATGGGAGCACCAAAGATCGTAAAACCCTGTGGTGTGTAACAGTGAGGAGAAAGGCTGTCTCCTTGATTTGTCATGGTACAGCATCAGCACAGTGAGCTCTGCAGTGCACTGGGGCGGGCCTAGTGGAGCAGCTGCAGTGCCGGTGGAGTGTGGAGACCAGGCTGCTTGGTGGAGGACACCAGTGTCCAGCTAGCATGGGTGCCAGGCTTGCTTAGGAGCACGCACGGGACATGCCAAGGAATATGCGCTGGCGGAGGGCTACCTTGCAGGAAGGTGGAAATCATGTGTGCATGGGGGGACCAAGAGTCAGTGAAATTTTGGGTTATGTTTATTCCCAGTTAGGTTGGTTTTGACCAGAAAATAATCTAAGCACTTTTAATGAGAATGTTTTGGTCTTATGGAAACACTGCTATTGATTTCTGCTAAACTTAGCAGAGGTTATGAGAGGTTATAACCATATATTTTGGCCTTGAGAAGTAGAACTCAAGGGACCAACAATTCATGTCTAATCCTCTTGAGTGTTTCCTGTCTGTTTAAGACCTCCCTTTAAGGGCCTTGGCCAGAGTAGAAAAAGATGACCCAGTCAATACCCTTGTGGGAATAAAAATAAAGACATTTTTCTCCCAGGAATTGCAGTGCTGCTACTGTTTCCATTTATATCACCTCGGGAGAGAAGATCAGTTGGGGGTTGGCAGATGTCCCTCAGGTCGAGTGCGGTGGGAAAATGTGGAGCCAGCAGAAGGGGCTGACCTTAGGTATGTGGAAAGAGGACCAGAGTGAAAATAATTTCATTCTGAGTAAACAGACACCAAATCATTGGGTCGTTTCTGTTTTTTGACTGCTTGGTGAGGGCACAGCAGGCGAGTTATTTTTCAGGCTCCTCTCACATCAAGTGGCAGCAGCAGCACAGCGGGAAAGTCAGAGCCTGGAATTCAGGTGAGGCAGACAGCCTTGGAGTTACAGGGAGCTGGGAGGGAAGACGTTAAAAGGACTTCAGGTGACTTTTTTCCTGGCACTCACTAGGCACAGTCTACTTAGCCAGGACCACCAGCCCCAGTTCATGCTGCCTTCTTCTCTCACCTGCTGAGGGCTTCCTATCCCAAATCCATTGTGCATACTCAGCCAGAGTGAGCTGTCTAATATGCATATGGGAGCCTTAAAAATTATTAAGTGGATTTTAAATCCCGACACTTCAACATGGATTTCCAGGTCCTTCATGACCTGCTTCCCCCTTAAAATCATCTCCTTTCTTCCTTCCCTTTCTCTTGAACCCGGTGTTCCCATCATTTTGAACCATTCTGAGTTCCTTGAATGCACCATCCACTCCCTCACCTCTGCCTGACACACCATGGCACACATGGAACATAATAGCATCATACAGTACATCAGGAGGAACGGATCAGGCTGCTTGAAGGCCAGTGGGGGCCTGAGCCTCCAGCTGCACACCTTAACCCACAGGAGGCACCTAGTTGGACAGCTCTGATCTAATCAACCAATAGCCTACAAAGAACCTTCTAAACATTCAATGACATTAACCAATGTAAGTTTGGGAAATAGAGCACAGAGGTACCCAAGAGAATAATCCTACTATGGTAATCTAAGTATCCAAAGTAAGGTCGAATGCCATAGGGAATGGAAGGAAACATCTGAGGCCACTTACCCAGCCACAGCCCTGCCATCCCACAGAGACAGCCCCACGGCAGAGCTGCAAAAGAAGACCAGTGCTCCACCTTGGTGAAATACAAGATGACTGGGGTGAAGGAGATGAAGATCAAATTGAAGAAGCCCAAGGTGGAGACAAAGTGTGCGGCTTCACCAAAGTTGGCACTTCCAAGAAACATCTTAAACAAAACCTGGAATGGGAAAGAAACTCTTCAGCCACATAGTCGGAGGCTCTGCTGGAGCAGAAAGGCGAATTCTATTGATCCACACTGTGAACTAACTGGCTCAGAGCTTATTCTCCATTTTTTCTTGCCCAGATTCTTCATGGCACTAAATGGGCTGTTGAGATAAGGAATCAAAATACCCTATGGCCTTCACATGAAGTAGCAAATGCCATGAAATGAATTCCTTATGGTGTTGAAAACTGCTGGGGTATGGTAGATTGTATTAAGTGCCACCATCAGAGAGGGGTGTAGGGTGAATGACAAATAAGGCTACAGACAAACTCAGAAAAATCTTCTAGGATTGACATGCCATCGGTCCTTCCCTTCAAGCATGGGATTCATTTCATTCTTATTTTGACAGACACTGAAAACTAAATTAGACAGAGAGACCCTGTCATTATGTTGTTGAAAGAAATAATAATGATGTCTTGGATTTATAAGCAATTTTCTTTGTAAGCTTAAAATGTCTTCACAAACATTGTGTTTATTTCCTACATTTGAAAACAAATTTTTCCTGGGTTATAAACCTGTGTACAGAGTAAGATGGCAAGTAGAGGCAAGTGGCTAACCTAAAAACACAGAACAGGCGGGAGAAAAAGCCAGGTCTACAGTCCATATTTCTTAGCTTCTTAACCCCTCTTCTCCCTATATGAATCCTTTAACAAACGATGTAGAATGGAGCAGATCTTTTCTGCCTGGAATTATGGTGCAGATATGATTTTGAGCATGTCAGCAAATATTACCACTGTCAGAATGAATACATTTTGTAACCTGGTTAGGAGAATTCTGTCTGTAAGATAACCATCCTGGTCACATAGCAATCCCAGGTACTGCTTTTAATTTCAACTGAACTTAGTATTTTTTTTCCCTTGAAAGACTTAAGAGAACTTGAGCATGAGCTAGTCTTTGGTCACATCAGACATCTTGGTGGAATCTCAGTTGGGGAGCAAGTTAGACACTAATGGCCATTGAGTGAGCACTTGTCAAGCTTGTCACACAGAATCAATGGGCCAGGAAATGTCAATGTGGAAATAGACTTCCTGCCCTCTGAGCCACAGTGCTGGTGAATAATCAGAACAGGCATCCAGGAGGGATGAAAAGGGTATTTTCTGCCTTTCAGAGAGTGTTTTCTCATTGAAACACCAAGAGAGGTGAAATCGGAACAGTTATTTAACACATCCAGAAAGTTGACTTTTAAAAGTAGAGCTTTGGGGAATAACCTTTAGATCTGCTCTCTTAGTCCTTGCTTCTGAAGTCAGGTGCAATGACTCTGAATAGAATTTTCACTGATGAGAGGGAACTCCAGTGGAGAAAGAATGGTGAGTATACACAGAGACTCAGAGCATCCATCAGAGAGAAAAAGAGGTTCTTCATTTTGCTAGTCACACGAGCTCCTGTGGCATGGGGTTAATACGTAGCAAACAGTGAGCTCTCAAGTGACAGCTTGTTCATTATTTCTAACACCTCTTTGGAGTTAAAATTATTACCATAGATAGTTAAATTAAAGAAACATAAAAAGAGGAGAAGCCTTTCTAACATTCCTGCTATGAGTGCCTGGTAATTGGGGGGCTGGGGCATAGCACATAGGCTTAGGAGTTGGCTACTCCACAGTTTTAAATCTTGGCTCTATCACTTCCTGGCTGTATGACCTTGGGCAAATTACTTAACCTTTCAAAGCCTCGGTTTCCTCATCTGGAAAGTGGAAATAAGTATTTATGTCTCATAAGGCTGTGTTAACACAGGCAAAATTTTCTGGCAGGTGCCTAGCACATAGCAAGTACTCAATGCATGGTACTTACTAGTATTTCAGCACAGGTATTTTTTTTGAACCAAGGGTTTCATTGTACTTCCTTACTTTATTACTTAAGTAGAGGCTATAAGGAACAGTTGAGTAAAAGAAAGTGCATAACATACCTTATATAATGCAGATGTAGAGGCCGAGCCCACTGCAAATGCCACTCCTATGATCGAATCAGCGTGGAAATTATCTGCATAAGCCATCATGACGATGCCGGTGATGGCCATTATTGCAGCAACTATCTGTCGAATAGAATGCAAAGAAATAGAAAAAAAATTGATGCTTCTGTATCTCAGAGCAAGCAATTCAAGACTTTATGCAAGTTGTTAAGTACTACTCTAAACCTAATTACCTCTTGGACATTGCTGTACAAATGTAGGAAGGCTCAGTATTAGAAATGAATCAGTATGCTCATGAGACATACAGGCATAGAATATAAAAAAGCTGCTCACATTCTAACTAAGGGCCAGTAGTTTTACTGACTTTTTTTTAAGGCTAGTAATTTTAGTTTAATTTTTTAGCTCAATTTTCTAGAGATTAATATTCATATTGGTGAAATAAATGTAATAGAAAGTCACTGCTAAGCATTTTCATTTATTTTGTATTCTTTTTCTCCAAACAATTCAGCATACATTTTAATCATGTCCTTGCATCAACGTATGTTTCTGAAAATGCCCACATAGCTGAAACTTGATTAAGGAGAAATAATATCGATACAGCAAAGAGGCAAAATTTAGGCCAAAGGAAAGAAAGAATGGGAATAACTTCTCACAGTGATTTACACAAGAGCAAGCTGAGTCTATGCTGTCAGTTGGAATGTCCAACGGAAGCTGGGTCTTCCTTTTGTTAACATGCAAATTAATTCCATTTTTTAAGGAAAACCACTGAATGATAATTTAATTATACTAGAGCATTAACTGCGTAAAGTGAAATTTTCATAATTCAACTGAAGTCATAATGATTTACTGTAAATTGGTATGATCCTTGGTATATTTGGAGCAGTAGTCCACTCCCTTAATGAAATGCAGGTTTGCAACTGTTTCCTTAATTGTCTTGAACTGGTTCTACTGAAAAACATTTCAAAGCCGCAGCAAACAGTAAAATAACAACCTTGGAATAGGGAACAATAAGTATGTTATTTCCTTGTGAAATGGTCCCACTGATTTTAAAATCAAGATAAAAATTTGTAAGAAATTTAAACCCACATGGTGATTAATTTTGCTAAGCTTCAGTTCTGAGTATTCCCAAGTAAATAAATTCCTCTGTAGATAGCTTTTTCACATATGTGATTTTTTGGACTTTTTGAACATTATTGGTAAATTATTTATCATAACAAAATGGAGATCTTTAACGTGTAACTGTAGACTCGCTTGAGTCCAGTGCAAAATATGGTCCCAATGATATAGAATTCAGATGCTGCTTAAGGAAGTCTTTTGTTAATGACCACCAAAAGCAAGTGTCCGGCTGGTTTCAGAGTAGCTCCAGACTAAAGGGTCCTTTATGAAAAACAGCAGGAGTACTTGAGAACAGACGCCAACGTGTCAGCAGTGAAAAACCATCCTCATAAAACGTTATCCAGGAAGCTGCTTGATGGGAGGTGTTTTTCTTGCTGAGTGAATATCATATTCTCTGAAGCTGCCAGGCATGCGTTCTAGTTAGACTCTGCCTCAAACTATAGGGAATAGAATTTAATACTCATACCATGAGATGTCAAGGAAATTTTTCTAAACAAGAAGTAATAGACTCATAAATAAACATGGTGAGGGGGTTATCTAGACTCAGAAGTTCTGTGAGGGTTATCATTTTCCTTGATATGGGGATTTATATTTCAGCTAGGAATTTGCAACAATTCTTTGGGTGATCTGATTTCAGAGAATAAAAAGGCACATTAGAGGCTGGCATTTTCTGATTCGTTTTTGTGTTTAAATAATGTTCATGGGTTAAACTGTTCATGTACACAAATAGATTTCCCTCATAAGACTGAACTTGTAAAATAATAAATTTGAATTACATTTGTTTTCTTTTGGCCAAACATCAGCTGTATTTTCTTGGTTAAATAAACAGGTGGTTACTTCAAGACAAGGTTAACAGAACACAGTGTGAATCCTAACGAACTTTAACACAATGTGCTGTTTCATATTTAAAATTATTGGAAGTATTCTACAATATATAACATATGGGTTTAGGCAATTGCGAAAACAAACAAACAGCCCATTAAAGAACCCAGAAGCAAAAAACAAAAACATTGTCTGGAAAATGACGAACATTAAATACAATTATCCCCAGGATATGACCACAGGTGGAAATTCTTCCTTTTCTGAGTCAGCCATTAGTAAATATATATATGCATAAAATTTCTACAATAAATTTTCTCAAGATAGACTTTCGATATGGCTGGAGATTGCATAATTTCACAGCAATTCAAAATTATAATCACAGTGAGCCTCTTAAAGCTCTCCATTACTTGTTATATTCAAGTTTTTGTGAAAATATTAGCCTGGCCCACTTAAATTGATGTATCTATTACGCCAGTGTCTCTTTCAATCGCCTTCACATAGAGAAGCATTTTTCACTTTAGGGGGCCAGACAATACTGTTAATTAAGTTCTGAAGGCATGAAAATCTGAATATTTGAGATGCTAGAAAAATTCTTCTTCATGGTAATGAAGCAATGATTTGTAGGTTATATAGTAGGTTCCTGGTGGGGGGATAAATAAGTTAAATTATTTGCCACATTTTTATTTAAATTTCCCAACTACCTGATAGAACAAATTCTCTATGGCCATATTTTAAGACATTTTCAATATATTTCTTATTTACACAGTTGGAACTAAAGGAAGAAATCTCAGTGAATTTTGAAAATGCAAGAAAATGTTAGGCGCAAGGCCTATTTACAATGGCCCTTTGGATGATCCCAGAGTAGCTCTGCTTGGCAACATTGGCTTAAGTTTAGAGAATACATACTGTGCAAATGCCCAGAGAACACACAACTTCAGCACAGATCTGAGTCACATGTACTTTCAGAATTAATCGGTCATCAGAGAAGGATTGATAGTCCATCTCCTTCTCAATAGAAAAACACGAAATGACTCTTCTTGGGCTCAGCATCCTGGAAATGTGTCTGCGGGAAGCCAGCGACTAAAATATTATGTTGAAAATGCTCCCATGTGCTCATTCACAGGATGACAACCACAAAAACGCTTTTGGGCCGCATTAGCATCCCTATGAGGAACTCTTCTGCTGAAAATGCACCATCTAGTGGCACCAGCTTCTTGGCTTCTGGAAAATGTGGCTTTCCTGACAATCTATTCCAGATCCAGCCTCTTCACCAACCAGAAGTGTCTAAATAAGGTGGGAAAGCCACCATTATCAGCATCTGAATCTGGTTTGGGTGAGAATGTTAGTAGCCACAGTGACCATAAAACTGCCAATGCCTCCATTTTTAACTTTCTAAACCTCTCTGTCCTCACATCGTGGTGTGCCTGCCAGGGGTGAGTACCTCCAGGGCTGGGATTTATTTAGCCCATTATCTCAGCATGCCAGCTGGGTGCCATGGCCTCTGGAGCCAGCTCCCTTCCTCTGCAGGCTCAGGTCCCAAGAGAGCTCCTTGTATCAACTTGCAGGGCCAGAGGAGGACTGTGAGGACATTTGAGCCTGTTCCTTAAGCCCAAAGGGGGCTTGACAGGTAGATATTTGGCAATCTCACTATGCTAAATACCACCTGTGACCCGGCATGGAAGCTAGGTTTCTTCTACCTTTCAAAGAATCAGTTTGTATAGATAAAGGCTAGAGGAGTATATGGCTTTTGCATGTTTTTGTTTTCTTGCATCTTCATTTTTTCCTCTTTGGGCTCAGGCCCTTAAAAACACATGGGTTGGGTCCCTCTGCATCTCCATGAGGCTTTACCAGCCTCATCCCATTCACTACATTTCCCACTCACAGATGGTTTCCACAATTATTATTTACATAACAATACTAGTTCTTTTAGAGTCCAAGGCATTGAAATGAACCGTCAGTTACTTCTCTTTCTACAGTGTTCCCTCAAGATATTAAAGGTCTAACCAAGTGATCACAACTCAAACATATTTCCTTACTTTGCCTTGAGGTTAATTCTGTTTTTTGAAGCTGAGTATGAAGCAGCCTCACTGGTTCACAATGGACCCTTGAATCTCAAAGCCTGCAGCAGCCCCTAAAATGCAGGTCTCAAACTACACTGCTGGCAGTGACTATGCTCAAGTTGAAGGCTAAAGATCACCAATTGAGTTTGGGACATAGATTAACAATTTCACCAATGAAAACTGCATTAATGATTACCCTTCTTCTCTCTGTGAGTGGATTTAGATAGGGTCCATTTTCAAGAAACCATGGGTATACAGAATCCTCAAACTTCTGCACATGTTATATTTAAGGTTTTGTGAAGAACTGTCTCTGTTACTCAAATCCAATTGAATTGAACAAGAGCTGAAATGTGAGAGATAAAAGAGGGGTGGCAGTCTATAACTGTCCAGATGCAATGTGTGTGTGTGTGTGTGTGTGTGTGTGTGTGTGTGTGTGTGTGTGTGGTGTGGGGGGCAGATACCCAGGACAGCAGCAAACCCAAGGGGTGCTAGGCCTCTGACTCCCCCTCTCCTTATTCCTATCTATTTTTATTGAATTAAATTCATTTGAAAATGATCTCAAAGGGAGACCTGGGTGGCAAAGCGGCAAAGAAATTACAGGAAGAAAGAGAGAAGGATGTATGTGGAGGATAGACACATGACTGCACTTTGTTGAAGGGGTTATGGATTCCTTGTGGGCAGAAAATCTGACAGCTATCACAGCCCAGCTTTCTGCTCTCTTGGCTGTATTCATAAGTCATTGTCCGGCCAAGAGGAGGATGAGAAGGGTGAGTCCCACTGTCTGTCCTCCACTGCCTCCCCCAGGAAGCATGGAGATTCCAGGTGGAGAATTCTGTGCTGCGCATGAATGAACAGTAACCGAAGGCAAGATGGAGACAAAAGCTCATCTTGAATCTTATCTTAATATGCAATGTCAGCACAAATCAGTAGTAGCTCAGCTCCAGTGTCCTGCTTTAGAGCACTCGTGGGCCCAATTTGAATTCAAAGAAGTACAGGTTATGCAATGTAAGATTTAGTTTAACTGACACACTCCAGTCAGCCCTTGGTAAATCTCGGAAGGTCTTTGAAACAGCTACAGTTTGGGAAGCTGACTGCAAGGGTACTCAAATATATCAGAAAAATATGTGGCTGCCAAGCTGAAGAAACACAAATTCATTCCATAATCTGCTAAGAAAAGTGGGGTCCGCTGAACCATTCGCTAACCACCAATTTTCTCCACATCACCAAGGAAATTTAAAAATGAAAGGAAACTTTGAATTAATAATACAAAAAGTACGAGAGGGACAAGACATGAAAGAAAAATTTCTAGTAATCTAGTCTGGCATCTATTTTTCACTGGAGTGAAACAGACACCAACAATAGAGAAGAAAAGTCCCAGGCAGTGATGCATTTCCTTTGGGAAGAACTTTCTTTTATTAAGGTAGTTTCTCTGGTTATTGTTAAGACCTCTATCTAAACATGAAAAGATCTCAAAGATGGGATCTTCAAAGCTACAAGAGCTAGATTATCACTTTCCAACATTTTTGTAATTAAAAGTATTATCTTTTAAAGAAGTTTATTAATTTCTGTGGGATGATCATATATTAGCTATAAGCAATTACTCAAGAAAGGGATTTTTTTTTTTACAATTTTTTTTTCATTTTTTTAATCATCCAGCCCAAAATGTCAGGTCAAAGGGATTTTTAGCACACCAAAGATTACCGGTAGGTTGGTTGAAATGACTTCATAATAGAAAACTAAATGTATAAAAGATTACCTTTCCATCTATAATTCAATCAGTATTCAATGGAAACAAAATATTAACAAGTTATTCATAATACACAATTCATTTTTACATGAGCATTACTAATTCTGGCCCTCTGGTGGTCCAGATAAACCCATATTTACTGATGTTATAACTTACAGCATCCTTCATTCTGTTCATGGTGTTATTTTGACAAGAAAATATAGAAGTAGGGAAGACTACAGTTTTTCATCTTAAATGTGATCCTTCCTGGGGCCAAGCAAATGAGAATTATAATGCAACAAACATGTGTTTCTAGGCTACTGAAACTTTAGCATGAGCCAGAAATATAAATGTTAATCTGATGACTGAAAGCTTCCCTTTAACTTTTTATTTTTTTAAAGAGTAGTCCGGTGGGGTGACATCTAGGGGGCTGTGCCTTAGATTATTTATTGCCGTAGGCAATAAGAGTCATGTTTGTGCTGTCAGTGCTCTGTTTGCCCTCCTTTAATTCCTCAAATGACCTAATTATACATGTTCTCAATATGTCTCAGGAGGAAAAGAATTGCTGATGCTGTTAAAAGGCAAAATGCTGAATATGTTTTGGTGTGTCTCCCATTCCAAGGCCTGACAATGGGCATTAAAATTACACTTTAACATTCTTCTGGAACATGGCGTTAAACGCTTCCTAACGTTTCACGGTCAGAAGCAAAACCCACTCTACCGCTTATAAAGAAAAATGTCTGACTTTGACCAGCATGGCGGACGCTAATGTTTACTATTTTGCCATTTATGATGTCTTAAATTCTGTATATATTTATTAACAAGTACTTAGTGGCCATTTAACATTCCTTCTACCAGGTCTTATTACTTACAGATGCTGTCTTTGTCTCCTGAGGCTGCTGCAACAAATTACCATTAACCTAGAGACTCAAAACAACAGAAATATACTCTCTTACAGTTCTGGAGGCCAGAAGTTGAAAATCCAGCAGGGAATTGTGGCATCTGTAGGGGAGGATAGATGCCTTGCCTCTTCCAGCTTCTGGTGGCTGCCCTGGCATTCCTGGCTTGTGGCCATCTCTCTCCAATCTCTGTCTCTGAGGTCACACTGCCTCCTCCCCTTCTGTGTGTCTAGTCTGTGCGAGTCTCTCATTAAGACACTAGTTAGTGGATTTGGAGCCCACCAGATACTCCAGGATGGTCTCCTCTGCTCAAGATCCTCAAGTTAATAACATCTGCAGAGACTCTTTTTCTAAATAAGGCCACATTCACAGGATTGGGGGATTAGGATGTGGACAGATCTCTTTGGGAGCCACCATCCAACCCACTGCAGCTGCCAAATTTAAAATGGCAGTGGTTAGTAGCCTCTAGGCAGATTGCTTAAATCTGTGATTTAAATGTAAGTTGCACAGCTAGGTTTTTTTTTTTTTCCTCTAAAAGACCTCGAATAAACATTATATCTTTTTTAATGTAACCTCTTGCATCAGTGAGGTCGATGGTTAAATGCATTCAATTACTCTAACACAATTGCTTTTCTCGTAAATCTAATAGTGAATGTATTGATTTACTTTTGGTATTCGTATGCCACTGAAAGAACAAAAAAGCCCCCAAATCTCCTCTGTCTTCCTCTCTTCTGACAAGACCCTCCAGGTCCTCCTGGGTGGTCCATGGTGGTGAAAAATAATGAAGAAAAAGATCTCACAAGCATGAATTCATTTATTGCATACTCAAATATCTATAAAGCCCCTACTTGGTGTCCTGAATTATTCTAGGCATTGGAAATAGAGGCAGGGCTGGCTTCAGAGGGCATGATCTATGTAGATGTATAGGACCCCATGCTTAGACCCACACTTGATTTAATGCTCTGTTGTTGCCATCTTGAAATTATTAATAATTTTTTAACAGAAGCCCTGCATTTTCATTTTGCATTGGGCCCCACAAATTATGTAGCCCAGAAGCCCTGCATTTTCATTTTGCAATGGGCCCCACAAATTATGTAGCCCATCCTGAATGGAGCAGTGAACACTACGAAAAAGGTCCTTGTTCGTAAGGACTTGTCAGGGTTCCTGATGGTGGACAGCCAGTGACAGTGCTCCAGGTATAAACACATGATGCTGAGCCCTTTGGGGGCAAATCTAAGATTAGCCAATGGAGAATGTGGTATCGCATTTGGTATATTTTAATGGTATCATGAACTAACTCACGCAGTTTCTGATCTTGTCTTCTATCAAAGCTTTCTACTTACTGTTCATATCAAGCTTCAGTTCTCAATTTCTGAGCAGCATCTCCCAAGATACAATCAGAATTTTCTAGTTGGCTTTTATTTTTTTAATAGAAAAGCTTTCAGGGTTAATGACTATCATAAACTAGCTCTCTAATACAGACATCAATTTCAGCATTTTGGAGGGGGGCAAGGACCTTGGAATCATTGCCAACAAGAGCAATATTTTGATAGAAAAATATGTTTCAAACTCAATCATGGACATATCTTTCAGAGTAGAGTAAGTTGTGTAATGTTGCTATTAATACTATGGGAAAAGGCTATTCATTTGCACCTCCTTCTAAAGAATTGTTGTCTCAGTATTTTCGTCACAGTGGAAGGCCAGATCGTATGAATGAGATCTGGCGACTGAAATCTTCATGGTGTCCAAGCAATCTGTTTCTCACATAGAGCAAGCACACATGCACAATTTTTTTAAAATCCCTGTTAATCCTGAAAGGAATAAACTCAGAACTGAAGTGGTTGGTGGAAGTTTAATGCAGTTCAATTAAGGATCTGTAGCCAAAAGAACAAGTTGTTGCTTTTAGTTCCATTTCCAGATTAGTCACACTAGATATATAGCCACTTTTAACAGCACTGTGCCATTACCAGTGACTTTAATTACTGTTTGGTAATCCTATCTACTTACACCAAATATTAATTAAATCCATCTGGTGGGGGGCATGAGGAGGTTGTCTCAACATATGTTGATTGAAAAAAGCAAATCATAATCTTTACTGTGGCTAATTTTCTCAGACCCTTCTTTCCTGAGGACAGAAGGAGTTGATCACACCACTAAGTCTAAAAATTAATTCTAAAAAAAGAACGTATTTTCTCTGCCTGCTTTAATGCCTCTTGTTGGAATCAGCTCACTAACCAGGGGAAACAATCTCTTTATCCTTTCACGATGTTGTAACTGCCTGGGCTTCTTAATGCATGTTCGGATTTCAATTTGTACTCAGAACCAGTGAGAAAAGTTTTACAGAAACTCCATGAAACAAACCAGCCCTCCTGATGCCGAGGATTTATGATTAAAGGAGGCATTGCACATTGAATCAAGTGTACCATTACCCTCACTCCCATGAACCTGTCTTTCAGCACAATCCATGACAGCAAGAAGACAAAGGCTTTGTTACAACAGAACAGAGCAGAGACATCCGTGGCCGTCAGCTTCTTTAAAGCCAGTAAATATAGATAATTAGTCAAAGTCCATAGAATAGAAAAGGGAGCAGTTCTTTTAAGAAAGAGCTTCAATGTCAGACCATCTTCACCAAAAATCCGACTACATTCCCTAGGAAAGAAAAAAGAAGTTAATATCCAGGTACTAATGGTGACACATCTTAACTAACTCATCACAGCCATTTTTCAGGCAAGAGCACAAACACTCAAGACCCACCATTCATCTGTGGAATATATTGAACCCAGTCCTGCCTCCTACAGGCTTCAGGGAGTACATGGAGTTCCTTGGAAATGAGCCCACATCTCCCCAGGCACAGAGCTAGGCCCTCTTCTACCTAGATATTCTCTTAAGATTGCAAAGGCAGCCGTTCTGTGGTTCTGAATACTCTCAGAGAAGCCTGAAGAAATACAGAAATGGGTAATTGCTGAAATGAATAGATATTGGAAGAGGGAGAAGATTCTTTCCCAAGGCAAATGAGACAGGGTCAAGGTGGCTGCTACTGTGTGAACAGACTACAGACAACTCACAGAATCTTATGGGACAGGTACCCTCTTACGTCTGTGAAGGCACACCCATCTTGGGATTTTGTTATTTCTAAGACACTATTTCCTCTTTCTAATATATCTGCCCAATTGTCTAATTTCTTTTTTTGCTAGCATTTTGAAGGCAGAAAAATGAAGACAGCCTCTGTGATAACCCCTGAATAGTAAAAACTAAATAGGAAATGCAGGTTGTATTTATATATAAACATTTGGCAATTTTGGAGGAATTATCTGAATTCAGTGTGTAAAAATAGTCACTTCAGTTAAATCTTTGATTTGTTTGATTTCCAATTAAATTGGCTAGCCCAGAGGGCCATTTTCGATAAAAATGTTCGAGCTAGTGATAAGTACAGGCAATAATGAAAGTGATACAATGATAATGCCTGTAAGACTGTGGGCTGAAAACAGACTCACCACTGGGAGAATTTAGCTTTCTTTTTTCACTCAGTTGTGCATGAACATTCAAGCATTTAGTAGGCAACTATCATGTGCCAGGCATTGTATTTTCAGAAGTAGTATAAATACTCTTGTTCAAGGCCGGACGCGGTGGCTCACGGCTGTAATCCTAGCACTCTCAGAGGCCGAGGCGGATAGATCTCTCAAGGTCAGGAGTTCGAGACCAGCCTGAGCAAGAGCAAGATCCCATCTCTACTAAAAAATAGAAAGAAATGATCTGGACAACTAAAAAAATATATATAGAAAAAATTAGCCGGGCATGGTGGCGCATGCCTGTAGTCCCAGCTACTCGGGAGGCTGAGGCAGAAGGATTGCTTGAGCCCAGGAGTTTGAGGTTGCTGTGAGCTAGGCTGATGCCACGGCACTCACTCTAGCCTGGGCAACAAAGCGAGACTCTGTCTCAAAAAAAAAAAAAAAATACTCTTGTTCAAAGCAACAAGTTAGTAATATTTGCCCATGTTTATAATGTTTACAATGAATCTATTTGCATGACTCTAGATAGTATTAGTACCACTTTCTCTTCCAGTTTTTACTGAAGAGAAGTCATTGTGCCTCAGAGTATTGCAAATCAAAGTAAATTCTAGTCAATGTTTGCCTCACATGTATGAAGTCACTTACCCCACAGAAGGCCCACATTCAATAAGGAAGTGATAAAGGCTTTAGACACAGGGAGCATGGCCTTACCCATCAACTCTCATAGTAAATCTTGCCTTCAAATAGCTGTGAAAGCTGGGAGTTTTAGGTCAGTGATTCCAGGAAGGTTAAAGACAAGTATTGCACACACAGAAACTTGTGCAGAGATTCGTTTACTTTCATCTAGGAGACAATCCAAAAGGAAGGCTTTTCATAAAATTAAAATGAGATTTCTCAAAAGTAAATTTTAACTTGAAAGAGACAAAACTTCAATGAAGGGATTAAATACCCTAAAGCCTTCTGCAAAGTAAACAGAAATTACACTTGCTCTCTCTCTCTCTCTCTCACACACACACACACACACACACACACACACAGGAAAATGAATAGTCTCTCTACAAGCCCCACAGCCATCAGGATATTCTGAATCAGTGCCACACATAGACCAAGTGGCAGTTTTCGGAGTATCCTGGGCACAAAGTTTGTACTCTGTCCTTACAAAGGGATCTGTTCCGTGAGAAAGCTGCCACGTAGAGCTACAGTTGAGAGTTGTGGGTTTCATCCTTTCATCTGCAACCACTGAATGCCTTTTAAAATATGTACACATTTATTAAGAACCATAACAAACCTCATTTCTGATTAAAGGATTTCTTTTTCTTATCGCTGGCCCTGGCCAGTGATGTTCTTCCTGCCGAGAGAGCCCACGATCAAGCTGGGTGGAGGCTCTCAAGCAAAGACTTTGGATGCAGGCGAGAGAACACGCCAATCCCGCAGGGAGGACCAGTGGATGCAGAGGGGCAGGGAGAGCCTCAAAGGCAAAGTGAGACAGTTCTCACCTGGCTCGTCCTGTCCCCCAGGTGTTTGTGCCCTCCTTGTTCCTCTTTCTTTTCCTTTCTACTCTCACTGCCAACCTTCTCCCCTTTGTCACTGCTATTCCAGGAATTAAAAATGCTCTCCATCCAAATGCCAGGTCACCTGTGTAAAACCCTATGCTATTTAAGCATTAGGTGCTAAGAAATGTGAAAACTGAAAAAAAAAAAAAGAATTTTTATGGAGAAGCAAATAATAGTGGGTTTCTCTTTGGGCTGATGAGATCAGAATTTCTGGACAAGAGGCATTAACAGGGAGGCAAAGCTTGAAATGAAGCTTAGAAGTTGAGGAACACTAATCATCAATTATGCTCATCATTATAACAGCAGCTACTCATTACTGAGAACTTTCTGTATGTCAAATAGCATCAGAAGCACTTTCAAAGGTGCCTGACATAGGCAAATACATCTTTGGCTCTAATTTCATGCTTTCTAGAGATTTTTTTTCCCCTGAAGAAACACCCATGTTAATACTGTGGTATATAATTTTTTCTTCCTAAATTTCAAATTCACCTGAGGCCATTGAATTCTCCTGGTAGTATATAAATGGAATTTTTAAATCATTGAAAACTGTTTTCAAGCAGACAACCCTTACTATCTAGATTTGCTACTTTGTTGAAAATTCTTTTGATGTTAGTGATAAGAGAAAAACTGAAAATGCTTTCATACCATTCAAGGGAAAATAGTCAGAGGCTCTGGCACTATGGGACAAATCCTGTTTCCTGTCTTACACACTAACTCTATTTTTCCCTTGTTCAGCCATGAGAGCTTTGGGAGTAATGTCTTGGCAGATAGTGTTAATGAGTCTGCAGGGAAAAAAAAAGATCAAGGATCTAAGATTTTTCTGCCAATTTTTACCTCTCATATGGAAAGGGCCACTGGGGACTATTCCCTTCAAAGATAATGTTTTCTGCTTGACAATAAAAACTCTTTGATTCTATTTTAGAAATGGTCAGCTTCACTCTGCCCACACTAACAGGTGGAGGTGTCTTGTCAAATCACAGATTTTGCAAAGTTCAGAGTTAGTCT